AGGCAGGTGGCTGTCCCCTTGCTGCAGGGAGGGTGATGTCCCTCAGTGCTGGGCACATGACACCCCCTCCGCTCTCTCTCCCCAGACTACGCCTTCGCATCCCCCAGCACTGGAATTGCACAGACCACCTTCGTGGGGATCATCATCTCCAGGGGTTCAGCTGCCTCCATCTCCTTCATGTACTCCTACATCCTGCTCACCATGTGCCGCAACCTCATCACCGTCCTGCGGGAGACCTTCCTCAATCACTACATCCCCTTCGACGCCGCCGTCGACTTCCACCGCTGGATTGCCATGGCAGCCCTGATTTTCTCAGGTGGGTGGGCTGCTGGGGCACTGCCACCCGCCAGCACAGGACCAGCCCATCACCCCGTGGCAGGACCAGAGACAGAAGCTAGAAGACCTTGCAGAGACATAGATGCCTTGCACTACAGAAAAGGAGTCCTCCGAGTCACTCCAGGTCCCAGGGGACATCATCAGAGTCTGACACATCTCCATCCACATCAATTGATGTTTCTTTCTCTGTGTTTTTTCTCTTACAGTGCTCCACACTGCAGGCCATGTAGTGAACGTCTACATCTTCTCAGTCACACCTCTCAGTGTGCTGTCCTGCCTTTTCTCCACTGTCTTTACAAATGATGGGTAGGTGGAATTTGAAGCAGACTCCATTCAAGGGTGTCCTGGGCACGGACAGAAATGAAAATGGAAACCACTAGTTCATTCTGGTCACTCCATGGTGCAATCTCTGGTCCTCCTCCAGGTCACAGCTCCCACAGAAGTATTACTGGTGGTTCTTCCAAACTGTTCCAGGTGAGAATAGGTGGTTCTTCCAAACTATTCCAGGTGGTTCTTCCAAACTATTCCAGGTCTATCCTAGCAGACAGACCTGCACACCTGTGTCCAGGATGGGCTGCCCTCTGCCCAGACAGTCAGAGCCCCTCTTAACTCTTCTCTCACAGGCATGACAGGAGTGCTGCTGCTCGTGGTCCTTGCTGTGATGTACGTGTTTGCCACACGCCACTTCCGGCGCGTCAGCTTCCAGGGATTTTGGATCACTCACCACCTCTACATGCTGCTCTACATCCTGGTAAAGGGTTGGGGCTGGAAGGGAGGGATGGTGGTACCCATGCACTGCAAGCCTGTAGGTGAATTCAGTGCAGCTGATGAGATGGAATAGCTTGGGGTAGTCCCAAGGGAGATGGTAGCCCCACTCCTGGCTCCCCATTGCTGTTGAGCTGCCACCAAATCATCCCTGGGCTGATGACTCGCCTTGCTAAAGGGTTCTGCTGCTCCCTGCCCAGGTCATCATCCATGGCAGCTATGCACTGATCCAGCAGCCCCGTTTCCACATCTACTTCATCATCCCAGCCCTCATCTACAGCGCAGACAAGCTGTACAGCCTGAGCAGGAAGAAGGTGGAGATCAGTGTGGTGAAAGCCGAGCTCCTGCCCTCAGGTACCACAGCATCCCTGCCCACCCAGCACCAGCCTAGCCCAGGCTCCCTGCAAGAACATCAGGGGCTGCAGCACTGCAGGAGCATCAACCCCCCAACATCTCCAACAACCTCCCCACAGGTGTCACCCACCTGCAGTTCCAGCGGCCACAGGACTTTGACTACAAGTCCGGGCAGTGGGTGCGCATCGCCTGCGTGGGGCTGGGCACCACGGAGTACCACCCGTTCACGCTGACCTCGGCCCCGCACGACGACACGCTGAGCCTGCACATCCGCGCTGTGGGGCCCTGGACCACCCGCCTGCGCGAGCTCTACTCGCCCAAGAGCCTGGCCCTCCTCGGCACGCTGCCCAAGGTGAGCCCTGCTCAGCATGTCACCCTTGGGGACACCCAGACATCTGCCCAAGGTCAGCCCTGCTCAGCATGTCACCCTTGGGGACACCTAGACATCTGCCCAAAGTGAGCCCTCACATGTCACCCATGGGGACGTCTAGACCAAGAGAGCATCTCAGCAATGGGTTGTGCCAAGTGTGAGGCACTCCTCCAGCCCTTCCAAGGCCTGGGCAAGCAGAGACTTCTGCTAACTTCTGTCTCCCTTCCAGCTCTACCTGGACGGGCCCTTTGGGGAGGGCCACCAGGAGTGGAACAAGTTTGAGGTGTCGGTGTTGGTGGGAGGAGGCATCGGGGTGACTCCCTTCGCATCCATTCTCAAGGACCTGGTCTTCAAGTCATCCATAAACTCCAAGCTGCTGTGTAAGAAGGTAAGAGTGTCTGAAAGACAAGCCCCCCTGAGAGGCTGGACTCGATCTCAGAGATCTTTTCCAACCTAACTGATTCGTGATTCTGAGATGCCTCCTGCTGCTTCTGGCCTCTTTGGGGGTAAAATCCTCTGTGGAGTCCATAGACATCCATAAGGAAGCCGGCCCCACTCTGGGCCTCATTCCAATGTGCTACAGATCTACTTCATCTGGGTGACGCGCACGCAGCGGCAGTTTGAGTGGCTGACAGACATCATCCGGGAGGTGGAGGAGTCAGACAAGAACGGCTTGGTCTCTGTGCACATCTACATCACACAGCTGGCCGAGAAGTTCGACCTGCGCACCACCATGCTGGTGAGCCTGGGCATCCAAGGGCAAGGGTGCCATGCCATGCCATGCCAGGCCATGCTGGGCTGTGCTGGGCCATCTGACATGCACCAATCTGTCTTTCAGTACATCTGTGAGCGGCACTTCCAGAAGGTGCTGAACAAGAGCCTGTTCACGGGGCTGCGCTCCATCACCCACTTTGGGCGCCCTCCCTTCGTGCCCTTTTTCAGCTCGCTGCAGGAGGTGCACCCTGAGGTCAGTGTCCACCTGGGGACAGGAGGAGGTGCACCCACTGGCCGTTGTGGAGGACTGGTCCCAGCCTGTCCCCAAGGTCCTGGAGACCTCAGTGGCATCTGTACCAAGAACAGTGCAGAAGGGGAATGAATCCTGTTTTCCCTCTGGAGCCAGGCTGAGCTGCAGGAGTCAGCAATGCCCCATACCTGCCAAACACCCCCTGCTATTGCAGGGCCCCAGCTGCAACCTCTGACCTGAGCTGGGGGGTTCCCATCCTTCCTCCATGGCCCTGGCAGCTCCATGGGAATGGGACAACCCCCCCAAAGGCCTCTGGAGGCTGAGACAGGCTGCTCAGCCAGCAGCCATGCCCACAGCTGTCAGAGAGCAAGGGGGGCTGACTGTGGGGAGAGCTGGTGCTGCAGCCTGACCCTTTGGCTCCCTCCTTGCCCAGGTGCAGAAGATCGGGGTGTTCAGCTGCGGCCCGCCCGGGATGACCAAGAGTGTGGAGCAGGCGTGCCGGCACATGAACAAGAAGGACCAGACCTACTTTGCACATCACTATGAGAATTTCTGACCCTACCCCACACTGTTCCACCCTCTGGCTGCAGCTGCATGATTTCACCCTAGCTCCTAGCAGCAATACTTCCAGCAGCCACTGTCCCAGGCACCTTCCCCAGGTGAAAGCCATGCAGAGCTGAGTGCAGGGATACTGAGACCCACACAGCAGAGATCTGTGTGCTAGTAAAGCCTTATCACCCAGCACTGCCCTACACGGCCCCAGTGAGAACCCCTGAGCCCTGCTACCATCCACACATCCCTGCAGCCCCACAGCCAGGGGCATGCTGGTGTCCCAACCCAGTTAAACCCAGCTCTGCTCCCTTAATGGCACAGGACAGAGCTTCTGCTCTGCTGGGGGACTCAGGGAATGTCTCTGACCAGCTTTGGGGAGCAGCTTGGTGCCTGCGCAACCTGAATTCACAGCACTTTGTTCCAAGACCCATGTGGTGAACAGATGGGGTGAGGAGCCAGCAAGCTCCCTGCTAGCCCTCTTTTTGAAACAGCTCTCCTCACATACCCTTCAGTGCCTGCTTGTTAACTCTCCAAGCCCTCCCTGGGTTTGCATAAGGCCTTAGTTGTGTTTGCATTGGCTTCTTCCATCAGTGTCAGTCCTCCAGTCAGGAATCAGTTGTACTTGTTCAAGTAATGCCTGGCTTTGCATCACTGCTGCTTTTACAGGCTGTGGTTGAGCTCAAATAAAGCTGATTGAAGTCTTAAAACACTTTTTTGCCTCCTGTAGTTGGGTCTTGGGGCTGCTAGGAGTGTCTTGAACTATTTATTTTTCAGCATCAGTTCTACTTTAGCACTGTTCACAATTCTTCTACATCTAAAGCCTGTCTCTTACAACCTTCCTGAAACCCTCTAATTTTATAAATTCCCACACCCTGCAAGCCCCTCCAACCCACCACCCCACACTTCAAGAGACACACTCTGGAAGGTCTCAGGCAGCCAGAATTTATTGAGGAAAATTCAGTACCAAGGAAGGAACTGATCTCTTAGTACTAAAATTAACATGACTGTAATCAAAGATTAGATTTTTTTCTACCTCATTAGTACCTTGTTTGTGGCTCACAAACTCAGCAGGAAGGCTTGATACTCCCAAATAATTATGATATGTTTGCAGTGGTAAAACCCTTGAGTGATGCTCACTCAAAGCAGTGGTAAAACCTTTGAGAGATGCTGTCCTGTCATGTCTCATCTGTGCTCCTTTCCATGTCAAAAGCAGCTGTGCCCCCCACCAGCCCCTTCATGGGAGGCACATGAGGACAGGGCTCTCAGCACTCCCAGTTTCCCTGCCTGCAGTGGTCCCACAGGGAGCTGCTGGAGGTGACACAGCAGACATGGTCCCAGCTGGCCTCCAATTTCCCAAAACCCCAGTTCTGAGCTCTAAGAAGAGTGTGGAGAGAATGACCTGAATGTGCCAGTGCTTCCCGTGCAGTGGGGAGGGCCAGGCTTTGTTCCACAGGCTGTCCAGTCCCTGAGCACCCATGAGGGAAGGGAGGCTGTTCACATAGGGTTATCTTGCATCCAGGGATTGCCATGCAGGAAATGCTGCAGCCAGGGCAGTGCAGGACAGGAAGGGGGAGTGCCAGCACCTCCACCCTTGCTGTGCCACATGCCAGCTCCTCCTTGGCATGGAGGAACCTGGCCAGGCTCTCCTGCATGTGTGGTCTGTGAAGAAAAGCCACCAACTGTGCAACCCATCACCTCCAATTCAGCATTTTGATTCAAACTATTGGTTGTCCATTCGTAGTAACCTGTTAATGCTCTAATGGTGTCTCCCAGCACCATTCACCCTCATTAGATGTGATTTTCTAGTCAAGCAGCAGGGATGAGGGCAGGGCACTGGGACAGCTCAGGGGTTCTGATCAGTGGGGTCACATTTCAGCATGACTTTGACCCCCTCACCCCTCTTGGTGGTCTCGAAGGCCTCCAGAGCCTTCTCCAGGGGAAAGCGGTGCGTCACCAAGGGCTTGACGTTGATCCGCTTGGATGCCAGAAGAGAGATGGCCACAGGCCACCTGCAAGGGAAGCAGAGAGCAGGGGATGAGAGCAGCCGCCACTCTGGAGTCCAGGAAAAGAGCATGGAGCAGCCTGGATCATCACAGTTATTTCCCTAGCCCAAAGAAGTTTTGCTTGCAAAGAATTTTCTGGTGTCTTGTCACCATGATATTTTATGAAAAATCCCTTCACCAGGATTTTTTCTCCTGAGAAGCTGAGAAGCTTCAGCTTCTCCATGTTTTGCTACTTTGAAATGTGATTTGGAGAATTGTTTATCCAGCATGTGAATTGTTTTAATTTAATGTCCAATCACAGCCAGCTGTGTCGGACTCTCTGAGTCTGCCACGGGTTTTTATTATCGTTCTTGTCTAGCCTTCTGATGTCTCCTTTCTCTTTCTTCAGTAGTTTTAGTATATCATTTCTTATAATATCATATATCATAATATAATATAATAAATCAGCCTTTTAAGAACTTGAAATCAGATTCTCATCTCTCACCTCATCCTGAGGACCCTCACAACACCACAACAGTGTCTGGTATGGGAGATGAGAAAAGCCAACAGCTCTGGGCTGTTGAGCTCTGAGAAGACAGGCACTGCTACACAGACAGTTGAGAGAGCAAGTGAAATCACAGGAAGCAAGTGAAAATCACAGGAAGCCCTGAAGGAAAACCAAAACTGCCATGCTCTGCTCTCCTCTTGCCCAGCCTCTTGCCTGCACACTGACCATGGTGGAGCTCAAACTCATGGACTCAGTGCAGGGAGAAAAAAGGAAAAGCCTCATCCAGCTTCCAGCCTCTTCCCTGGCACAGAGTCCCTCATAGGGATTGTGTTGCCACTCTGTTTAGAATCATAGAAATACTGAGATTGGAAAAGGCCTCCAAGATCATCAAGTCCAACCTTGAATGGGCCAAACTAGAGCAACAGGGATACAAAGGGATGCAGCAGCTAATCCCAAACCGCCTACTTAATAACACTTCTCATTTTAAGGAGCAGCATGACAACATCCTATAAATCCTTCCTGGAGAGCTACAGATTAAGAACAGAGACTTTCTCCATCAGCAAGAAAGTAGAGCTCTGAAGAATTTTAGCTTGGAGAGACATCAGCCCCCCAGAGGAGACTCACGTGTTGCAGTAGCGGAATATCCCGCGGATGTCCACCTCCCGCACGGCCGCGTTCACGATGGGCACCGTCACCATCTGAGGGCCCAGCCCCACCAGAACCAGGGTCCCACCAGAACGAGTGGCCTGCAGAGCAAACACACAAACGGGTTACATTCTGCAGAGCACATTGCAGGAGACTGTGTAGGGTCTGTCAAAAATGAGGGCATCTTTGTGGCTGCAATGGACTGTCTGGGGCACAGCAGAGAAGCACCAGGGAGAGGCAGGATGGTGTCAGGAGTCTGTAAGAGTGAAACAAGTGGTAATCAAAGCAAAAAATGCCATCTTTTTTTGAAATATTTTGGTAGGAATCCAAATTTCCTATTCTGAAAACCCCATTCTGAAAAATGGCTGGCATTTGTGACTACAAAAGGTACTTTGGGATTTCAGTGCGAGAGATTTAAAACTAAGAGCCTGATGCTCTACTGGAATTTCTCTTTTTGAAGTTTGTCCCGTTCCCCTCCTGTCCTTTCACTTGAAACTCCACATTAACCTTCACCCATCCTCCTGTTAGAATGTTCATGGCAGCAAAACATCCCTTTCTTAATTGCTTCTTTCATTCCTTCTGGAATTAATTTTCTTGATCACTCTTCTTATGTGGACATGACTTCAATGGAAGCTGCTGTCCTACTCCCTGGGTTTGGGGATCTTATTGGAGTCTCCTTGGTAAGTTTTTAAGCACCCAAGCATCAAATCAATTATCCCCACGCTGATGTTAACCCTTTAATTATCTCTCCCAGTTTATTGTCTAAGGAGCAGTTCCTCTCCCCAAACCAAGCCCACTTAAATTAAGCACAGTGAGAGTGAAATAGGTCATTCACAGAACCATCCCAGAAAAAAAAAAACAGACCAACACCATCACTGTTCTGCCTTTGGAACAAGTGGTACTCACATAAATTCCAGCCTGGATACAGGCTTGCACTCCTGTGCACTCCACAGTTATCTCAGGCATGCAGCCAAGCACACTTTCCACTTTGGAGGCCACCTCCTGAGGGGTCTCTTTCTGCACCTGGATGGTGAAATCTGCCCCCACCTCCTTGGCTTTCTGCAGGCGAGAGGCAGATAAGTCTGTGGAAAGAAAACCAAGCCGAGAATTGGAGTATTAGTGAAAGAAGGGGAAGAACCTGAACCTGGCATCTGCTCACTACATGTGTGCACAGGACAGTGCAGAACCAGAAGAGGTGAGGATTCACCCCTTCTTGGCAGGCAGAGAATGATCATAAAATCCTGGAATAGTTTGTGTTGGAAGTGACTTCAAAGCTCCACTCCACTTTGAAGTTCCATTCCCTGCCATGGGCGTTTCTCTTTGGTTCTGCCAGAACACTGAGAGTGCATCAAGGCAATAAACATGGCTATGGACAGCACCAAGGAATCCTTCCAACAGGAGACAACAGGCTCAGAGGGTCATTAATGGGGCCATTTCACTTCTAACAGTACCCAATGAGAACAGACCACGAGCTCTCCAAGGGCTCCCTCGAGGAACCCTCAGCAGGTGCCTTTAGCTGAGCAAGCTGCAGAAGGCATTCATTGTAAACACTCAGTGTGTCTGCATGGTCACCAACCTGTTCTGCTGTTTACCCTCCTTGTAGCAGCTCTGGAGGCTGCTGAGCATCTCTCAGACAGTTTCTGTCACAGATGAATGAGCAGGCAAGCCCGTAAAACAAAAGGGAGTGGATCTGGTAATAAGATGGACGTGAGATACCCATTAATATGGAGCAGTAAAGCTGGTGATGATAAACATCTGTGAGGGCATGGCTATACTCTGTACTCTGCTCTGAGGGATCTTGACAGGGCTGTATCACCTGAAGATGACAAGCTGTCCTGCTGGGGCATCCCACACCCCCTGGAGGAAAGCCACCTATTCCTCTCCAGGCACCACTGGTAACCTTATCTCCTCGGGAGATAAGGATGTGGACAGCTGAAGAGAAGAATGGGATTGCCCAGGAAGGAATCACCTCTTTTCCCTACACTAAAGCAGTGTCTACAGGGGTCTGCATGCTGGCACTGAAAAAGATGTAACAGCCAAGATTTCCTAAACCCAAAATTGAGGGGTGGTCTCCTCCCAGAGGTGCTGGGCTTGAAGACTCAGAAAATGATGCCTGTGGTAGGAGCACACACAGCAAAGAGGAAAACACCCCTCTCACCATGGCACAGTCTTCAGAGAAGTCAGAGACGGGGTGGGGTGAAAACATCAAGGGGAAGAGGAGGAGGAGAAGGCCAATGCTCCAGAATGAGCCAGTCTGACTCAGCTGCAGTCCTGGGAGTGAGCCAGAGGCTCTACCCTGCCCAGCCCACAGCAAAAATGATGGCACTCACTGGCAGGGCAGGGGATGGACAGGCACCCACTGGCAGCTGGAAGGCTCAGGATGCCAAGTGTGGGCACAACTGCCAAGCTGAGCACCCAAGAGAGCTGTGGAGGGTGTTTCAAGAAGGGGTAACAAAGGGTAATAAAATGCAGACAAAAGAGGAAAAGCCAAGGCTGAAAAGAAAGGGCAGCATCACCCTGGAAGCCCCAAAACGGGCTTGTTCCTGTGGCTGCAGGAGTCACCTCTGTCCCTCCCAAGCTCTGAGCACTGGGCTCCAGGCCCATGCTTGACCCCAGCTGAGCTGCACTCAGAGACCTCCCATGCACCTCAGGAGGTTCCTGAGGCACTTCAAGTGCCATGAAATACTTTTGCCCAGCATGGTTGGTGTCTCCCAAATCTCAGTGTGTGAGACCACAGGGGTTCAACAGTACAACAAAACTCCCTGTGAAGGTTGGTATCACAATACCACTTCACAGCAGACACAGATTCCGGATTCTACCATTTTTAACATCTCCTGAGTCACTAATGTATTTTAAAATATAAATATGTATTTAAAATATTACACACGTATAATATATAAATATTAGAGACATTCTAGTCTATATTTTACATATTTCATACTTTCTCTCTAGCAGAAATAATCGACAGGCAGTGCCCTAGAGTAACAAGGCAGCCAGTGCATTTCAAAGTGGCCACAAAACCACTCCCAGGCAACAAAAAAATCCCCACATCTTCCCTGTAGCTGGCCTCTGGTTTGCTGAGCTGCTTGGGAAGGAAGCCCTGGCTCTAAGCAGCCCATGGAATGCAGCAGCAGCCCTGTCAGCCCCGGCCAGGGCTGCAATAGCATCCCAGCACACCTGAATCACTAGGAAGCACTTAGTGAAGCAGACAGATCTGCAGGTCACTGCATTGTTAGAGCTCCAGACACTTGTGAGTCTTAGGAAGGATCAAACCCTTTGCACTTTAAACCCACACAGCTCTTGGAAACTGGTCAATTAAATAAATAATGGCTTGCATCTTGCCTTAGTCAGAAGTTTGTTTTCGCTTCCTAGCCCCTGGAGCTAATGAAAGTTTGGTTTGCTTCCAGTGAAGTTATCAAATTACCCTTAAGCTTCTCATGATGGTTTATGAGCCAACGTAACAAGCAAATAAATACTCTTGATTATTCTCAGATTTTCTTTACTCATCTTCTTTATCAAAAGAATTGAGCTCTGTACAGTTATTCACCTCCCCTGACCTTGAATTCCAGGATTTCTGGAGGCATCAACACCCAGAACTTCAGGTTCAGATAGAACAAGGAGAATAATTTCCCTCAAGCAGGAATCATTAAGTGCACCTTCAGTGACAGACAGTGCAATGCAAGACAGCCCAACATGAGCACCTAAACTGCCCCTGCACCTACGGGGGAGGAAGGCTGATCTTTGACATGCATCTGAGGAGAAAAGCAGCTTTTCAGAGCACCAGCAAGGCAGAAGGACAGGAGAAGGTTACCCATTCAGGAGTGGAGTGGAATGGAGAAAGACACAGATCTTTTGGAAGAGTAGGTGAGGACCCATGAAACAAATTGATCTTCTCACCCAACTGGAGTCCATGAAAGATATCAAACACTCCAGGCAAGCCAAGACAGAAGTTGTAGGAGGTGAGTTCTCACAAAAAAAAGCTTTTCTAAATATTTCTAGATCTGTAAGAAACTTGTCAAAACAGACACAAATTTTTAAAGCCATAAGTGCTGCACAGACAAAGCTCCTCACAGACATGATAAAAACACAGGGCAGTGACTTCAGATAATCTGGTAGCAAAGTACAAGAGGGCCTCTGTGGGCAGACAGGCGCCTCACAGGTGTTGGCTCCTAAAGCCAAAACAAAAAGCAGTTCCTTGAGACAGGCAGCAAAATCTCCAGCAGCACAAGCCAAACCAATCCCATTCCTCAGCTCGTGTCACGCTCAAATATTTGATTTGGGACAGCACCTTCATGGTTTGAGCACCTCAGCCAAACCCCTCTCGTGTGGAAGAGACATGCACGAGGCAGAACCAGCACCTAGGCTAGCACAGAAAGATAAGAAAGGGTAATTCCATGTATCCAAGCTTGCTGATCCTACAAACCCAGCAGCAGGCACCTCCTGTGGCACAGGGAGCCAGCTCAGCTTGCCAAGGTCCCCATCGGGAGCAGCTCGTGGTACCAGGGGAAGACACACCCATTCCTGGAGCAGGACTGAGGGGCAGGCTGAAGCAGCTGCCTCAGCCCCACCAACCCCACTGACCAAGCCCTGCCCACCCAGGGAATGGGACACCCCCAGCCCCTGCACAGCCCAGCTGGGCACAGGGTTCCTCGTGCATGATTCAGGAGGCAGAGCTGTTTTTCCTGCTACAGCAAATATCATCCTCAAATGACAGCACTTCACAAAATCTGAGGTGTGGACTAGCCACATCCATCAAGCACACACACCTGCAGGGTGAGGCCAGCACAGCTAAAAATGCCCTGGACTCAACAGGAAAGGGATTAAGGGAGGAGAAGGCCTTGTGTTTTCTGCTTTGACCTCAGCTACTACTGAAGGATGTTTCTGTTTCAGGAGGGTGGGACCTGAATTTTATCTCTTGACCCAAAGTAGGTCAAGCAATACAGTAATGGAAAGGTCAAAAATATATCTGGCTAAAAGTATGGGAGGTGAATAACAGCCCTCTGAAAGGTCAAGATCCTTTAGGGCTTTGAGAGAAAAACTCAGCAGTCTGTGCTCAATGTCCAGTGGCACCTCTAACTGCTCCTCCTGGCCATCACCACTCAGAAAGGGTGAAGACTCATAGTGGGAGCTGGAAGCACCATTTCCAGACCCTGTTCAATCCCCAGGTGGAAATTTCAACCAGAGAACATGCTGAGGTTACTCCAGCTCTCCATCCTTCCAGGCAAGCTACAGAGAGAGAGGGCCTGAACCTTAGAGGAGAGCTAGGGGGAGCTGGGCTAGGTCAGCATGGCAAAAAAAGGGAGGGATGGAATGGCTCTCTCAACAACCTGAAGGGCAGCTGCAAAGGTGATGAAGACTCATTTCAGTTCTTCCATCAAGGGGAAATCTCCATAAATGACAGCTTGTGAGTGGACCCTAGAAAAAGCTTCATCACTGAGAGATGAAAACCTGGAAAAGGTATTTAGAAAGATGGGATCTCCTTCCTCAGAGATTTTCCTGACACAGCTGGACATTCCTGAAGCAGCAGCTCAACTAGAAACACCCAGGATACAGTTATGCAAGAAACATCCATTTCTGAAATGCAGAGACCCTGAAAAGGCCATTTCAGTCATTGTGGATAACCAATGAAAAATGAAACCCCCAGCAGGAGCAGACAGAAGGGCAGAGAAAGACAAGTGGAGAAGCACAGTGTGGCTGCACACAGGAAACAGTGGGTAAACACTGTCTGGGCCATATCCAGCATTACCAGAGGTAAAAATAACCTAAGATCACACCTGCCTGGAAGGGTGGTCAGGTACTGGGACAGGCTGTCCAGGGAAATGGTGGAATCACCATCCCTGGAACTGTTCAAAAAACATGTGGATGAGGCACTTATACAGACAGGGTTGGGCTTGACAGTGCTGGATCAATGGCTGGACTCGATGATTTAAGTGGTTTTTTCCTACCTTAATGATTTTGTGGTTCTGTGTGGTGGGAAACAGGCACACTCTGAAAGGGCTAAAGGGACTTACCTGTAACTACCACAGCTGCTGCACCCATCATCTTAGCAACAATCACATTAACGAGGCCAATTGGTCCTGGGGACACAGGGGAGAAAGAGAACATGTACCACTGCCAGGCAGCACCAGCCCCACCTCTGAACTGCCCAGAGCTCTGGCAGCCCCTTTGGTTCCCCTCATCCCCTCCAGCAGAGCCCAGAGGCAGAGCCTGAGCCTGCCCATGCCCTCCCAGCAGGCAGGGAAGCCAAGGACTGGCTGTGCTCACTGTACCAGAGCCAGACACGAAGACTTTGCTCCCCAGAGTGACTCCTGCTCTTTTGCAGGCGTGGATTCCCACAGAGAGGGGCTCGATGAGGGCTCCTTCCTCAAAGGTGACATTGTCTGGGAGCCTGCAAGAATGGGACACAAGGAACAGTCACCAATGTAGTTCATGAGGGTGATGGGGAAAGCCATGAGACTCAAAAAACAAACATGGGTGTAAAACACAGTGGCAAAACACACTGTCACCTGGGGTCAGGGGAATATGCTGGAATACACTTCAAGAGATTCCACTGTTCTTTCCCTCCTCTGAAGCAGCATCAAACGTACCTGAAGCATTTTTCAGTGAGGTTTGCCCCAGCACCACACCCAGGGACCCACAAACTTCCCCACATCAACTCTCCAGTGTTTGGTGAGTCAACAAGGATTCCTTTGCCACTCATTCCCTTCAGAATAACCCCCCCAAGTTGCATATGTACCACCCCAAAGCTGCCCTATGGCTCACCACCAGTGAGCTCCCAGAACCCTCACCAGGGCTGAATCAGCTCTTAGAAAACATCCTGCTGCCAAAGGTGAGGCCACCAGGAAAGGCAGCCAGACCCAGGTCTCCCTTCCTGGTAACAACCAGGAACACCTTTCCTGATGCACCAAGTACTTTAACAAGTGGACTGGTCCCAGTATGCATCCTCCCAGCAGTCAGTGGGTATCAAACATGTTTTGGACAAAACCAGCCCTGTAACACAGCCAACATAAGTGACAGAAAAAACAGAGGGAGTGAAACTCTTTGAACTTCTGAAAGAAATCAATCTCAGCCCCAAAACACTGCTCACCAGCAAGCCACCAGTGTGGTTCTCATACTGCTCTGGGAGCTGTGCCTGCCTGGAGGGTCAGCAGGGACAGTGACAACACTGGGAAGCTCAAGGTCAGAGCTCAGCCAGGCCAATATGAAGCCAAGGAAATGGAAATTATGGCTGTGGGAAGACAGCTGTAAGATATCTGCATATCCCTTATTTCCAGGAGGCTTTAAAGGTCTGACTCCAAGAGTTCCCTTGTCACAGAGTCTGCCATTATGTCTGCTACTGCTGGGTTTGGGCAGTACCCTGTCAATGGGGAGGGCATGATCCCACCTCCATCAAGTTACTCAGAGCACCCAACACAGAGTCTGTACACCAGCAGGACACACAGCAACTGCCCAAATGTGTAACAGCTCACTGAGCTCAGCCATTATCTGTTCTTAGCAAATCTGTGCTGGCAGAATGACTGCGTGCCAGGGAATCTGCTCTACATGAGCCAGACACAGCACTGCTGATCTGAAATTGGGAGCAGGCTTTGCATCCCAAAGCTTAAAAAAAAAGTAAAAAAAAAAAAAATTATATATATATATATATATATATATGTATTATTATTGATTTTTGTCCCTCCAATTTGAGCAAATATTACTTTGGCTGTATATATTAAAAATATATTTAATAAAAAAATAAATATATATAAAAATAAATTATTATATATTGTATATTATATATTATATAATATATATATATTACTGATTTCTTTCCTCCAATTTGAGCAAATATTACTTTGCCTGCATATATATATATATATATATATATATATATATATGCAGACAAAGTAATATTTGCTCAAATTGGAGGAAAAGGCAAAAGCCTGGAAGAAGCCAGCTACAAATCAACCACTTCCTCTCAAGCAAAAACTTATGATGCTGTCAGAAAATGTTATTTTGATACACAGGAAATCAATGACAGTGGGTCTGGACAGTGAGATACCAATCCCATCCAGAACAGCCCCTTATCCTGACAGCAGCTGTTGGTATCTGTTTTGAAAGTTCCTGCCTGAGTCAAGTGCCTCCTTCAGACTGACATGATCCTGATTTCTGTGCCAACACCAAAGATCAATCCCGAGGATGTTCCTGCTGAAGGAAGTACCAGCTCCATACACACTGAAAAAGAACAAGCTCCACAGGTAGAGCAGCCTCATGGGGACACTACTGGGGTATTTTTAACTCCTTGTTAAAGGCACTTAAGTGGCTTGGGTATAACAAGTTTTTTTCAGGTCTTTGGAGTATTTGAGCTCTGGCAGAGGTTGCCCAGAGAAATTGTGGCTGCCCCATCCCAGGAAGTGTTCAAGGTCAGGCTGAATGGGGCTTGGAGCAAGCTGGCTTAGTGGAAGGTGCTTCTGCTCATGGTAGGGGGTGGAGTGGGAAGAGCTTTAAGGTCTCTTCCAAACTGAACTGTTTTGGGATTCTATGATTTGCCAGAGTGTTTAAGCACAGATTTTCTTCTAAGCAAATGTCCCAGTGCTGCCACAATTAATAATATAGTCAAGTTTGCTGAACTGCACATGAAAACAGATATGCTGTAATGCTGGTAGCTTAGTGGAGACACTCAGACACACATGAAGAAACAGCTCAGCAGGGATACTGCTTTCTGCTCTGCTCAGAGTGGGATGACTTTGTTTCAAACGACAGAGTGAGATGTCAGCAGTCAGCCTGGTGCTTCCTGAAAAGCAGCAGCAAAACTCAGCTCAAAGAACCAAAGACCTTCAGGCACCAGCCTAGGAAGGCAAGGATATGAAAAGAGACAGGAGAAAAACCAAGAGCAGAGAGCAAATGGGAAAAGGAAAATAATTAAAGGGTAAACCAGTGGTGACATCCCAGAAGACATGCAAGAAATGTTTATGTCTGGCACCTGAGGGGATAAACTGTCTGCCTGACAAACCCTTTGCAAAGTGGCTGCCATCCAAGCTCAGGCATGTTATTTATGGATCAGAAAGCAATAAAACCTGTTGGGATCACATCAAGAGTGTTCCAAAGGGCCAAGAAGTGATTGCTGCAGCTAATCTCCCCCCAGGGAGTGTATATTTCTCTCGGTGGAGGGAGCAGGGACTGACTTGTAACAGTAGCTCGCGCTGTGCTTGTAGTAGCGGCACAGGTTGCCGTCGTCGGGCGGCGTGGCGCAGAAGAAGATGGTTGGGGACAGGTTGTAGCGCCCAGATTTGCAGAATTCATCCATCTCCCTCGGCACACCCGGCTCGATGGCCACACGGTCACCTGGCAGGATGAAAGCAGATGCAGTGGGTCAGGGACAGGGTGGCACACAAGCAGGAGTAGCACCAAAACCCACAGGAACGCTGGCACCATGTCACGAGGAAGGTCTTGCTGCACACACCAGGCTGCTTCCCAGCACTCCCTTTACAGCAGCCTCATGTGAAAAACATCAGTCACTTGGTTTTTTTAAATTTTAAAAGCTCAATAGTAATAAAAGGGTTATGAAAATAGTAATATAATTAGAGTAATCAAAATTTGAACAATTGAGATTTAGGACAATACATGACAATAAGAGCAAAGAGTTACAGACAGCCCAAATACCTTTTCTGGGCAAAATAAGCCCAAAAAAGGACACACATTAACAGAGGATTAACCCTTAAAAGCAACATCCTGTTGCATATTCATACACCTCATACATGATGCATAAATTCCATTCAAACAGAGGATTCTGTCTGGTCAGTGTCAGCTTCTTCCTCCTAATCCTGACTGCATCTTCAGGACTGAATGGGGCTGGAAGAACTTTGTTTCTTCTGATAAAAGAGCAATAAATTCTTTTTCTCTGAAAGATTTAGGTGTCCTGTGGTTGCTATCTGGTTCAAGTACCTCAGTCCTTTCTTAAAAAAATATCTCACATACATAGTTTCTATTTTAACATTATGTTATAACCTAAAACTATATATAACACACTACTTAAAAGATTAATACAGCATAACTTTCTAACACAACACATATAATATTAATTTTAATATTTGGCAAAAGCCAATCATAAAATACACATTTTTCACACTCATCACTGAGGTCTTCCCAGGTACTTGGGAAGAGATGGTGTTTCAGAGGCACAGATGGAAGCTCAGCCCCACACACACACCTTCCTCCAGCTGCCTTGCAGCCAGCCTCAGCAGGTGAAGGGGCAGCCCCCAGACAATCACTCTGTGAGCAGATATTTTGCTGAATCTGTAGAAGAGGAAACACTGAGGATGGAGTAGGTGAGCTTGGCTAGCCACCACACTGCCAGCTGGAAAGGGCTCTTCCTTAGGAATCATAGAATCACGGAAGAATTTGTGTTGGAAGGGACCTTAAATCTCAGCTTTTTCCACTCCCTGCTGTGGGCAGGGACACCTTCCACTATCCCAGGTTGCTCCAAGCCTTGTCCAACCTGGCCTTGTACAATTCCAGGGATGGGGAAGGCACAGCTTCTCTGGGCAACCTGTGCCAGGGCCTCACCACGCTCACAGGGAAGGAAGATAAAGGTGCAGAACACCCAGGAGCCTGGCAGGATTTATCTGGGAACAGAGACAGCTTGGTGCTACAGCAGAATAGCCCAGGGTGCTGGAAGGACACATGCTGCAGGACAAAGAGCTGTTATTTAATTGCTGTCACAAAGCAGGATGGACCAGAGAAAACAGTGTGAGCATAGTACAACTTGCAGGGGACACAAAGCCTCACATTTATCTGGCAGAGGAATCAGAGTCAAACCTCTGAGCAAAGCTCTCCACCAAGAGGCTTTCAGGCAGACACAGGGATAAGGAGGATGGAAGTAAAGAACCATCTAGGCCACACTGCATCCCCTCTGAGCTGGCCAACAACAGGTGTCTGACAGGACACAGGACAGGCACAGCATGAGTACTCTCACATTATACACAGCTGAGAGGCCTCCCAAGTCACAGGTGGTTGGTTTGTATTTAGTAACACTCAACAACTTCTCCTCCTTCCACCACATAAACCACATGGTGTTCAGCATCTCAGGTGAATGCTGCACCTCACTGTGCCTTGCTCTGGTGCTGGAGCAACCAGAGAATGGGCAACCTGTTCTGCCAGCCCTCCATGAGCCCTCACATCCTTGAGTTGTGTCTCTATCTCTCTGACTTGGACATTTGTCAGAGATGCTGCTGCACATGCTGTTATCTCCTTGTCCTCCTCTGAACCCTTCTCCCTTGTTTTACATCCTTTTGGAAAGGAGGAGACCAGAACTGCATGCAGAGTTCCAGATGTGCACTGACATCCTCTGGGTCCCCTTCCCAACAGTAATTTGCATTTTCACTGCTGTGGAGCCAATGCTGCTATGCATAGAGTCAGAGCCAAAGCTCTCACCCCTCAGCAGTGATGGCCAGCACAACATTTTAGATACTAAGCTGGTTTTGTTTGTTCTGTAGTGAATATAACTTTGTGTTTGCCTGCCTTGAGTCCCACTTGCATCTCCCTGGCACCTCTCTGGTCTCTCTGTAACTCTTGCTGACTCTCCCCCACATCTCTCCACCTTGCCTAAGTTACTGTCATCAGCAAACTTTCCAAAATTCCCTGCTCAGTCCACTTTTTAGGACATTCATGAGCACAGTGAGCTGTGGAGGTCCCACCACAGGGCCTGGAGCAGTGGCTCCAGTGACCTCTGCACTGTAGGAGGCTGTTTGCTCCTTCCAGAGCACACACAGAGAAGAAACACTCACAGCAGGCTGCTGGCAAGAGCTATAGATGTGGTTTCTGAAGCTTTATCAAGCTTCCTTAAAAGGCACCTTCTACCAGATACACTCTGCTCTGCATTAAAATATAAAATACAGCCTGGCCAGCTCAACACATCCCAAGATAAAGCTACCTAAGGAATATCACACACCAGTGGCCAAGAAGGGTGACTAACAGCAGCACAGTGACACTTCCTAAAGGAGGTCAGAACTTCAGATAAATTTACAGAAAGAAACACAGCCCGTTATCGACACATTCTCGGAACTGATTAGGAGGAAAACAAACAAATGGGTTTGGTTGCAGATACCTGGTTTCAGATGAGTCACCCCAGAGCCTACTTTCACGACAGTCCCGGAAGCTTCGTGTCCCAGCACCATGGGATCCTTGACAACAAAATCCCCGATGCGGCCGTGCTGCCAGTAGTGAACGTCGGAGCCGCAGATCCCCACGGAATGCATGCGCAGCAGCACCTCTGCCAGGAAAGGAGAGAAGGCTCCTTGTAGAAAACCAGCCTTCTCAGGCACTGGGAGAGCACCCCAGAGCAAAGGCTGAGCCAGTGTGGACGCATCCAAATTTACTGGCATTCAATCAACACAGAATTGTTCGTGCGCACGTTAGGAGAGCGGCACGTTCGCGAGCCACACGAAACTATGCAATGATTCACAAAGCAAGAAGGCTCAAAATGGGGTAAGGCAAAAGATGATGTCAATAAAAATATGGGCAACAGAGTGATGCAGTTTAAGAGCAATGTTATTATTGCTGGGGCAGGAAAGAAATAGCAAGTCCATTTAATTTTCCCTTCTCCCAAAGGTATGATCTGAGCCCCAGAGAGTTAGTGAATTGAATTTCTATCAGCCCATATGCTCATTCTATTAATGTTTAGTCCTGCATAAGATCATCTGGAATGTCCCAAGAGCCATTTACTGTGACATACACCAAATGATGGAACAGGAAGCAAAAGAAGCCAGATAAAGGAGTTTATCTGTGACTGCTCCAGCTCTTCTTTGCAGCTGGAAAAGCAGCATTATCTGTTTCAGCCACACAATTGCTTTTTTGGTAATTTTATACTTCCTCAGAAATATTTTATATTATCAAGAAGCAACAAAACAGAATGAGAAAACAAAGAGAGAAGTAAAGGAAGCAGCCAGAATCAGTCATCTATAGACCTACCATCAGGGCCTGGCTCTGGGATTGGACGGTTTTCCTATGGACAAAAAGGAAAAAAAAGGCATTTAGCTGTTTGTTCATATCCCTGGGAATATCTGTGGAAGCTTAGCTCTGCTTAGCTCAGGTAAATCCATAAGCAGACAAGGTTTTTGGTTCTGTCTGCTCCATAAGACACAGCAGTGCCACATGGACCTGCTCTTGAGCTCCCCTCATTTTCCACACTCAGTGGATAACACAGGGAGTTGTAGGAGTAAGCACACTGCCAGCTTGTAAATCCACCCTCCAAATTATTTTGTAGTAAATTCCCTTTTCCAGCCCAGGCAAGAGACACATACTAAATTTCCCTGTACTGGAGCAGCCCCAAATTTCAGCTGAATCTTTCATCCATCCCACTGGCTGACAAAAAAAATCACCTTTTGTAACCAGGACTATTCTGAACAACCTGTTCTATAAAACTTTAATATTGCAGGGCTTATATTATTATTTTAAATAATACAAAACTTTTTTTTTACTACATAATGATAGAATAACAGAATCACAGAATGGTTTGGGTTGGAAAGGACCTTAAAGCCCATCTCATTCTACACCCCGCCATGGGCAGGGATGCCTTCCACTAGGCCAGGTTGTTCCAAGCCACATCCTTGAACACTTCCAGGGATGGAGCAGCCACAGCTTCTCTGTGCCAGGCCTCAGCAACCTGTGCCATGTATAATTTACATATAATATTTACACACAATATAGACATAATTATTTATACCTATTAATATACAAATTCACTTTCTCTTGTAAGTGCCATGGCAGCTCTTTATGGGATGAATGGCAAAACCAGAGTTAGAAAAGTGCCCCATATTTCCCTTCCACCCAAAAGGTCTGCAGGGATTTTGCCTTCACTGAGCTCCCTCAGCCAAAGGAATGATTTTGCTGGGTTTTACAACATCAGGACAATACCCACCCTGAGGATTATGTCTCTAAGAAAAGCCCCCCAGAGTAGTGCCAACAGTAAACCCTTAAAAATTCATTTGCTGCTCAAACTGTTCTGCATTTTAACTGCTTAAATCCCAGCATATTCCTCAACTCCTATTTTGTACTTCAGTATTCTAAACATCATGGAAAGACCAGCTCTGAAAACATGTTCTCAGATTACTAAACTGACTGAAATTTTCCACGTCCAGACCTGTATCTGCAATTTTTCTGTGTGTGGGGTTTGTTTTGTTACGCTGAGGACACAGCCCAGGGCATTATTTCTAAAAGAGGTCAATCTACATGTAACCTCTTTTACAGAAATGCAATAAGCACAGGATGTGGTGACCCACCAAAGGTACAGACCACCTCAGAGTGAGCAGAAAGTCCACAGTGACAGATAAAGCCAACTCCTAACTGAAAATGTGTGTGAAAAAAAATCCCAAAACCACTTTGTTTTTGGGGTTTTTTTTTTGGCAATAACAACTGTGCCCAGAAAACCTAGACACCTTGGTGGGAAATGAATTCTCCAGCCTGATTTGATGAAAATAGGAGTGACCAAAGTGGAGAAAACCAAAGACACAAATTCTGCTCGTTGTCTGTTGTTCACTGAGAAATTCAGAAATGGTGACTGGTAAAGTAAACACAGCAAATATTTTCTGTGAAAGGAGACATGGAAAGAGAAGCCATGGTAGAAGTATAAAACCAAGAAATCCTCAACGGGCAGCAAAGAGGAACCTGGGCAACTACCTAAGGACAAGAGGAGGCTCAACAAAATGAAAGCAAACACATTTTCACACAGCACAGGGATCACAGCAACTCTGCCCACAGGAAACATGTCCAAAAACCAAGAAAGGTGTGGGAATTACAGGAAGATGGAGTCACCCAGTTTTGGGTATCAATAACAGATAACAAGTTCAGAGTTCACTGCTGGGACTACTCCTACCACCAGTGGGTCAATACCATGAGCACCATTCACATGATGGAAACAAACTTCAGGGAAGCCCAGGAGGAACACACAGAGTGCTGCCAGTGAGGCAGGAGGGCACTGCTGACCAGCTCTAAGGTCTCCAGCAGTACAAATACCCAAGGAAAACTCACACATCTGGGTGTAAGCCAGTTTAGAGACCAGCCACACAGATGTGATGGAGTGCCCACCTGCACAAGTCTCAGACACCTCTGTTAAATCACAGGGGTTTGGAAATGCGTTCTTGAGCTAGAGGAAGCACGTCAGTCCTTAACCCATTTTGATTTCTTTGGGTAGTCAGGCTCCATGTGACTGCAGGGAAAGCCCAATTGTGCCAAAGGTGCCGGGGAGCCACCAGGAGCCACCCACGGCACGTGTGGCTTCAGCTGGGCGGGATTGGTAAAGAATCAACCCCTTCCCTGGTAATCATCCCCTAAACAAGGCGTGTGTCCAAAGTCTGTGTGCTCCCCAGAGCGCTCCTGCCAGGGCTCTGTGTACAGAGAGCTGCCTGCCAATGCCTGCCCAGGGAAACCTTCCTTCCCCTTTGGCACTCCCCAAACTGGAGCACACGGCTCTCCAGCAGCGCCATAGTGATTCAGCACCCAGAAAGAGCCCAGCATTAGCAGCCAGAGAGACAGAATGAGATTAAAGTAATTAAAAAGTACAAAACAAAACTCCTCCCTGTCTGGGAGAGTCCTCCAGCACTTTCTCCCCCTGAACCCTCTGTCCTGCTGCTCACCTGGGCTCTGACAGCCCAAAGGAGCAACAACCACCCTCCCTCCGCCTGCTGCCTGGGAGGGCCCATCCCAGCTGTGAGAATGGCTAATTTGGGGAGGGAGAAGTTTTTTGGGGGTAAAATATTCTCCACCCAGAGCTGGCAAAGATCTCAAGATTATCTCCTCCTGTGTCCCCGAAGTGCATTCTGCAGCTGAAACCTTTCCAAGATCGGAAAAACAGAAAAATATACACACAAAGTTACCAGAACTAGCTAAAAATAAATCATACTTCCGATACTGTTATATCCTTCTAGCAGAAGGAATGAGCATGCCTCTAGCACGCATGAATGAGTGTATCTGTGAATTGATTTCTCTTGCAAAAATGTTGCACCTCCCATGCACACGAGGGCTGGCGCTTTTTGTTTTGTTTTGATTTGGTTTGGGTTTTTTTCCCTGTCCGGGTCATTTCCCGTAATGCTGTGCAGAGCCCGAAGCGGCCGCGGGCTTCCCCTCAGAGGGGATGGGAGGAGGCCCCAGCCATGGGACACCCCACAATGTGGGTCCCCCCCGCCACCCCCTGCCATGGCCGCGGGCAGCCGGAGCCGGTTCAGGCTCTCCCGGGGCCGGTTCAGACTCTCCCGGAGCCGGAGGAACCGGGAGGACCCGGGGCCGCCGTGTGGACATCCCCGGTGCCCCCCACAGGCCGCGGGGCCGTTCCCGCCCTGCCGCCCCCGCCCGGGCCCGGCTCCCCGCGGCCGTACCAGGCGCAGGTCCCCGGCTCGGTGAACCACCACGGCCACGTTCTGCCCCGGCACCGCCATGGCTCGGCTTGGCTCGGCTCGGCGCGGCCCCGGGTCCAAGGATCGCTCCCTGCTGGGGGGGCCGCCCGCACTCCGGCCCCCGCCCTCCCGCGGGCCCGGCACCGCCCCCGGCACCGAGCGGGCACGGCCGGCTCCGGGCACGGCTGCGGGCACGGCTGCGGCCGCGACCCCAGCGCCAGCCACAGCCACAGCTCCAGGCCCAGGTGCTCCGGCTCCAGGCCCCGGCTCAGATTCCAGGCCTCAGCCCCTGCTCCAGCCCCAGCTGCAGTCTCAGCCCCCACCCTGGTACCAGCTCCAGCTCATCTCAGGCCCAGCTCCAGCCCCAGCCCCAGCTCCAATCCAGGCCTCAGCCCCTACTCTGAATCCTGCTCTGGGTCCAGTCCCATCTCCGAGCCCCAGCTGCAGCCACAGCTCCAGGCTCTAACCCCAGCCCCATCTCCAGCCCCAGCTCTGATTCCAGGCCTCAGCCCCTGCTCCAGCCCCAGCTGCAGCCTCAGCCCCGACCCTGGCACCAGCTCCAGGCCCATCTCCGGGCACAGCTCCCCCAGCTTCAGGCTCTAACCCCAGCTCCAGTTCCAGCCCCAGCTCTGATTCCAGGCCTCAGTCCCTGCTCCAGGTGCAGCCCCAGCCCCAATCCAGGCATCAGTTCCAGCTCCAGCCCCAGGTGCAGCCCCAACTCCAGCCTGTAACCCCAGCTCGAGTTCCAACCCCAGCTCCAGCCCCAGCTCCAGGCTGTAATCTCAGCTCCAGTTCCAGCCCCAGCTCCAGTTTCAGGCCCTGGGTCCAGTCCCAGCTCCAACTCCAATTCCAGCTCCAGCCCCAGCCCTAGCCCTATCCCCAGTCTCGACTCCAATTCCAGCTCAAACCACTGCTTCCAGGCTGAATCCCAGCCCCAGCTCCAGTGTCTGCTCCAGCCCTGGCTTCCAGGCCAGTCCAGCCTCACCCTAGGCGCAGCTCCAACTCCAGCCCCAGCCTCATCTCCATTCCCGACCCCAATTTCAGCCCAAATCACTGCTTCCAGACCCAATCCCAGCCCCAGCTTCAGCTCCAGTGCCTGTTCCAGCCTTGGCTCCCAGGCCCATTCCAGCCTCACCCCCAGGCCCCAGCTCCAATTCCAGCTCCAGCCCCTGCTCCAGATGCAGCTCCAGCCTCATCCCCAGTCCCAACCCCAATTCCAGCCCAAATCACTGCTTCCAGGCTCAATCCCAGCCCCAGCTCCAATTCCAATTCCAGCTCCAGCCCCATCCCCATTCCCGACCCCAATTCCAGCCCACATCACTGCTTCCAGACCCAATCCCAGCCCCAGCTCCAGGCCATGCTGATGACAACACTGCACCCCGCACTTTGACTAAAATTCAGTAAAATGTGACCTATGTGCTTGCCCTGGACATGACACAATTGGAATTGGTTATCACAGCTGCAGAAATAGTTTACTGGGGGGGAAAAATGGAGACTTCAGGGATTCTGGGTTTTGGGGACAAGCGGTTTCCTGCTCTAATGGAGTTGGCAAACAGCTCAAATAGATTATCCCCTCCAGTGTCATTGAATCATGGAATATCCAGGGTTTAAGGTACCCACAAGGACCATTGAGTCCAAGTCCTGTCCCTGCACAGACACCCCAACAATCCCACCCTGTGCCTGAGAAATTGTCCAAGCTCTCCCTGAGCTGTGGCAGGCCTGGGGCTGTGACCATTCCCTGGGAGCCTGTTCAGAGCCCCAGCACCCTCTGAGGAAGAGCCTTTACTCATATCAAACCTAATCCTCCCCTGACACAGCTCCAGCTGTTCCCTTTGTCCTGTCATAGGTCACCAGAGGGAAGAGCATTCTAAGAACATTCCGTAGCTGGGAGCTTTCCAAGCTTGACTTCCTTGGAAACACAGAAAATATACAGGATTTAATATGTAAAATTACCAGAACCAGCTAAAAATGGCCTAAAAATGTGTTTCTAATATTATTTTGTCCTCCTCCTTGCATGAATTTAGTTTCCCTAAAACTGTTTCACCTCCCAGACACATGAAGTCTCATGCTTTTTATTTTTTTCCATTTCAGGGTCATTCCCTGAAATATTTATTGCAGTCAGAGTCAACATCCTTGCAGTCATTACTCTGAGGGTAGGGAAGCAAGTTCATGGGAAGCTGTGACAAAACACCTTACTCAGTGCTTATACAGCAATATAATTCCTGATACTTCAATGGAAGAAGCAATATTTGCATTTTATGGAAAGGTTGGCAACAGTTATTTCTTCCTGGATATGCTTGTTTTATCAAGGTACCTGCTTGTGCCTTTCCTTTTTAGGGTGTATTTGCCTCCAGACTAGCCTTGCCACTCAAATTACCTGTGTGGGATTCACCATGACAGCCTGCAGCTCTGCCAGCACAGCACTAAATCTGCCTCTCTAAATCTGAAAAAATGCTGGAGACATGGGCTGGGAGCTTCACTGGGAACTCAGGGCTCTTGCTGTGATGCACCCCTTTGGGTTCTCACGTCAGTTCCTTGCCAGACTTTGGGCAAAAAGTGACTTTTTGTTGGGGCAGGGAAGCTGGTTCCTTCAGCTCTTCTGCTCCTCCCTGCCATGACTGTCAGCGCTCTGCCCTCAGTTTTCTTCCCTTCTCTTGCCCTTCCTTTCTGAATCAGATCCCTTCACACTTCCATGTTTTCTCTGCCAGAATTTGCTGCCTGTGCCTGCTGGGCCTGCTCATCCTTCTGGACCACAAGGACTTCACCAGCCACTACAAATCCTCCAAGATCCTCCTATAAAAGATGTTTTGAAGACCTTGCAATGGCCAATTTCTCTTTGTTTGCCTTCAGCATAGCCTGGCAAGCCCTTTTGACTGCCACCCACAGACAAAACACCTGTAGGACTCAGTCCTAATTAATTTCTCTCTCACCTCTCTGTGTGTGGGTGTCTGGCTTTCACTGGCGAGGCAGTTCACGTTCCTCCAGGCACACAGGAGCAGTGCTGTGGGATTGTGTCATAGCCATGGTGTGAGCTCTCACAGCAACCCTTATTACCACAGCCATTTCACTGCTCATTAACTCAACCAAATGTTTGCCCATTCGTTCTGTGATCAGAATGCTTGTGGTCCTGCTGGAAGAGGATGTGGGTGCTTTGTTGACATGACAATAAATCACTTCACCTGCAGCAGTCAAACTCAGTGTGTGTTTTCCTTGTGTGCAAATGATTAAACACTTCAGGACTAACTCAGTGAGGAGAATTGGGGCATGACCTCAGGGAGATGCATCCCCAGGTCTTGGAGGGTGAATTCTGCTGAATTCTCTGCAGCCTGGGCTCAGTCTCTCCATCTGCATGAACTCTCCATCTCCATGCACAGGGCAGGCAGGACTCACATTGGAGGCAGATGCTCCTGTTCTCCTTCCCTTAGGAGAATATTTCCCTTTACCTTATAGAGGATTCTGGTGTTTGCCTAGGAGGTGTCACCCCCAACAGAATTGCCCTGGAGCTTCTTCCACCTCCCAACACCACAATTCTATTTCTGACCAACTACATCAAAGTGTTTTCTCCAGAACTGCTGCAGAAAATTCTAAGGTGCCTGTCCAAGATCTACCATCACCTTTGACAGAGCTGGAAAAATAAATAAGTTATTCCAGTAACTGTGATAACTGCACCTCAGCTGTAAAGCCATCATCCTGTGACAGTCTTATCTCCTCTCTGAAACAAAGGGACCTTGAGTGGTAGGGCTGTGTGAGGTAGTGACCTACCACCCACCCTAGATTAGGGTGCGGTTCAGTAATCCTATGGAATAGCTCCAAGTGGGGACAATCAGATTATCAAATAATGATGAAACAATGCAATGGGAGAAGAAGGCTCTGTTGTGGCTGCTGGTTGCAACTTTTTGCATTATTGTTCTATTCTGGATCAAGAATTTCATCCACCTTCTCGTACGTGCCGCTGCTCCCTCCACCTCTTCTATCAATGGCATGACTCCGTCAGTTGGGTATTTACTAAACATGGAACTGTTTGCATACTCAGATTTGTGCTTTCCACAGAAGCCATCCTCAGCCCTGACTTCCTTGTCCACCCTTGCTCTCAGCTCTGCTTTTGATAAGACATGGCATCACATGTCATCCCATCACTTAATATTTAACACAACTGTCTCCAGAAAAACACTGCTCAGGAAATCATTTGACTTATCCTTATAAGACAAACATTTAGGGACTGAGTGCCAGATTTTTAAGTTCCCCCTTCCTGGGAGAGGTGACTGTTCCCTGCAGGACAGCCACCCTGTCCCAAGCCTGAGGTGGACAGGAGCACAGTGGCTGACAGTCCCTCTGCACTGTGTGCTCACCCCCAGAATTACAGAGCTCACCATCAAACTCTTCTGCAAATGAGCTTTGAGTGGCAGTGGTGGATCTGGGATAGGGGTGATAGCTGGCACTGGGGCAATGTGTCCACCTAATTTTGTGTGTGTGCTTTCCTGGTAAATCCTGTGGCTGTGTGAGTCATGCTGGAGACTGGCAGGCCATGCCAGGGCAGGGTGCAGGCTGCAAGAGCCACCCAGGAGTTTGGTGGAGCTCAGGATCAGGGTCATAACCCACAGAATCTCTGCTTTGATTTGTGACTAACACCTGCTCTGCATGTCCACAAACAGCCCTTCTCTCTTCTCCCAGGTATCTGTGGGTTTAAAACTGCTTTACAATCAGCAAGATCTTCTTGGTAACCTATTTTGAAGCCTCCCGTGCTGCTTCCTTCCTTGCTCTGACATTGCCACCCCAAGAGCAGACAAACCCCACCTTTCCATGTCCATGCACCAGCATTGTTCTCTTAGTGGTGTTGCTGTGCCCCCACCTGCCTGCTCTGATCCCTTCTCTTTGAAGTACAATTGTACTGATGTCACAGACACTTTTCATTCAAAGGGCTGCCAGAATTCCTCTGGCAACTTCATCTCCAGCCTCCATGGGAGCCAAGCCCTGTCCCTGTTCCCCAGGCTCACAGGCTGCGTGTTGTGGATTATCACCAGGAGCATTTGGACAACACTCTCAGATGCATGGGGGAGATTCTTGGGTTGTCCTGTGCAGGGCAAGGAGTTGGACTGGATCCCTTC